AGCCAAGGACCGAGGTATAAATCTAGCTCCAGAGAGATCTAACAATCCCACACACCAGGTGGGGACACTGTGGGGGACGCAAGCCTATCATTGTACCTCCTCTCCAGTGAGCAGTGCTGGGCCAGGCTTGGAGAGGGCACCAGAGGGACCCGCAAGAGAAGGGGTTCCCCAACAGATCTCCCCTGTGGGTGATCTCCCGCCCAGCATCCATCAGATCCATGGAGAAAAGCTGAGAACTGTCAAAGATTTACTCTTGGGTCCATAATCAGCGCGCATGGAGAAGACACAAGGCCTCTTCAGAGTGTTGAAAGGACGTTGAAGGGGTAAAGCAAGTAAAGGAAATAAGAAAAGAACGAGGAGGCAAAGAAGACCCGCCCCTCTTTTGTTTGTTTGTTTTGTGTGACCGTCTTTGAAACTAGCCCCAGCTCCAAGAACACTGACAGGCAGCTTTAATGTGTCTTTTCTTCCTTCTACGACCACCCAGAGCAGTGTCTGGATCTGATGGGAAAGGGAACTGGAAGGTGGCCAGGAGGCCCTTTAAAGCCCGTGGGGGGGGGGGAGCAGGTTGACCCTTGAGAGCAGTCAGCAGCAGTGCCTGAAGGGCGGGTCCCCATCCCCGAGGGCAAGGCTGGTGGTTCCAGTTCCCCACAGCCCTCTCAGTTCCTCAGAGGGCAGGTATGAGTCAGCACTTCCAGGGCATGTCCTAGTGCCTCAGGTCAGACGGAGTCCAGAATGTTCCTACAGTTCAGGCCTCCGGTTTCTGCAGCACCCACCAGGCAGGGAACTTAGAACCATGTTCTAGAAGTATAAGAGGCAGCCTAGGAAAGGTTGAGGGGGCAAAGATCGAGGCACCCTTTCAGCTCGGGCCCTGGGCAGAGAGCATACCCAGATGTTCTCTGACTGCCACCTCAATATGCCCCCTGTTTGGGCTGGGTCGGACCACACAGCCCCTTCCCCCAGCCTCTAAGAAAGACTGATGATCTGCTGGACTTTGCTGTCCCTGCCTCCAGCATTCCAAGGAGCTTATCTCTCCGGGCAGGGTCCACACAGCACCGTCCCCCCACCCTGCCCCCCCACACACCCGCCTCAAGGCATTGCAGCTCCAGCACTGAACGTCCCCTCTTCCCCTGGCTCGGACCCTGTATAAGTGCTACTGCCTCACTGCCAGGTGCGATTTCCCTGACCTAACTCGTTGGGTCTCAGAACCTGCCCGGGAGCTCAAGGTGCTCCTGTCCCATTCTCTGCTCTCCCTCTGTCCCAGGAGTTCTTTCCCTCAACATTTCTCTCAACTTCACATTCCTGGCTAAATTCTATCTCCGTTCTACGTTTCCGTTTTTCACCTCTCATCTTGGTGCACGAACCCGGGAGGAGTAAGAGGTGTCTGGACACACCCCTGCCTGCCCTTGGACCACTGTGGCACCCTCTCTCCTCCATCCCCCTTGCCTAGAACCAGACCCTCTCAGCAGCCACCCACCACATCCAGGAGGAGTCCCTGACAGCACCTGACTAAATTCTAATTCTGTTCCTGCGACCGCTGCCCCTTGCTGCTGGGGGTTCAGAGGCTCTGTTCACTCATGTCATTTCTGAATCGTGGGCCCACGGCAGAGCCACATCCGAAGGACAGCACTTGGGGACACTTGAGTCTCACTGCTCCTTTTCCGGGGTACCTGGGAAGAGAGACCCAGAATTTCCTCTCCCCAGCCCCCAGCCCCATTTCCAAGGGCCAGAGACATTGGGGGACGAGGACGCCTGGGTCTCTCTCTTCACTTTCCAGGGAGTTGGGAGGCTGCTGAGCCCCCTCCCTTCATCCAAAGGTTGGAGACATTCAGGGCCACCTGATTCTCTCTGCTCCTTTTCCGGGGGAGCTGGGAAGTCAGTCTTCCCTCTCCCCCATTCCAGGGGCCAGTTGGCTACTTGGGATGCTGAAGGTCTAGCTCAGTCTCTTCCAGGAACCCTGCAGCATGGGAAACAAAAATTCCAAGCCAGACCCCTCCACACCTGTAGGTGGCCTCCGGGCTCATCTCTCAACCCTTGGCTGAAAGCCACACCTCTGGCCCAAATGCCTTGGTTTTTTACTGCAATTCAGTTTGGCCCCAATAGACGCTAGACAGTGGGTCTCAATGGCCAGAAGACGGCACTTTTGCTTTCAACATTTTGACTGATCACAGTAACTTTTGCCAGCGAACTGGAAAATGGCCTGAGGTCCCCTAAGTCCAAGCTTTCTTCCTTCTATGCTCCCATCCCCCTCTCTGTACTCCCTGTCACCCCACTCAAGTTCTTTTAGCCCAATACTCCCCTAACCAGAAACACTTGCCAGCTCAAACAGACCCACCACTCCCCAATCAGGTCTCCGGCAGTACTCCCCCACTGATCTTTCTCCGAACCCCCTGACTCCTTGTCTGTGCCCCCAGTAAGGCCTCCTCCATATTCTGGGTGCCCTTCACCATCACCTCCCTCCACTACCTCCTCAACCCCCAGCCACA